CAACGAGGATCGAGGGGAGGTGTCCGAGCAGGACAAGGGGAACCTGACGGACGACGAGATCGTCAGCCTGTCCATCGAGTTCTACGAGGGCTCCAGGTACCCGTTTTGGGCTCCTCCCAAACCTCTTGCCTGGGTTTGGGGCTTGGGAAGAAACTCCCACCTTCTGCCCCCCCTCTGGCACTGAGATCGTGGAGTCACGGAATGCTTTGGGGTGGAGGGGACCCTAAAGATCCCCTCATTCCACCCCCCTGCCATGGGCAGGGACACCTTGGCAGGGACACCTTCCATGCCAAGCAGGCAGGGAAGCTCTTTCCTAAGAGCTGCCATGTCCCTGATGCTGGTGGTGGCCTCTGAGGATGCCACTGGCACCCGGAGCAGCGTTTTGGGGGGAGTCAGTGGTTGCAGGGGCCTGGACTGGAAATGGGCATGGAAGTGGTTGGGGGGATGAAGCCACAGCCTGGCTGAAGGTCACTGGATGCCTCCTCCATGGACAGCCCTTCTGGGGGGTTCTTCTTCCTCTCCACCTCTTCATTCCTGCATAAACTTTGTCCTGTGTTTCCTTTCCTCCCCTCCCAGAGAGGAGAAGAAAGGCACCGTCGAGAACGGGGACCTGGAGAAGGAGAAGGTGAGTGTGGTGGGACTGTGACAGGGGGAGCTCCATGTCCAGCTGCCCCCGGGGCTTTTGGGGTGCGGGGGGGGCACAGGAGGGCACCCCAGAAGGGTCGAGGGCACCTCCTCGACCTGCCCAGTGGCCTCAGTGATGTCTCCCCCCACCCCAGAGCAACGGGCTGCGGTTCCTGCGCTGCCCCGCGGCCATGACCGTCATGCACCTCGCCAAGTTCCTCCGCAACAAGATGGATGTTCCCAGCAAGTACAAGGTGAGGGGGTCCCCGGGGGTGCCTGGGGGTGCCTGGGGGGTGCCTGGGGGTGCCTGGGGTCTGCTCATTGCCCGGATTTCGCTGTGCCCTGGTGGGCTCGGAGGGGCCGGGGCCGGTTTGGCCTCCCCGTGTTGCAGCCCCGGCTGCAGGCGGCGGGTTCTGCTGCCCCCAGACAGCTTTGCTCTGCCAGCCTTTCCCAGGGGCTGCATCCAACCTTTTCCTGGGGTTGGATCCATCCTTTCCCTGAGGCTGGATCCATCGTTTCCCAGGGGCTGCATCCATCCTTTCCCTGGGGTTGGATCCATCCTTTCCCTGGGGTTGGATCCATCCTTTTCCCGGGGCAGGATCCATCCTTTCCCCAGGGCTGGATCCATCCTTTCCCTGGGGCAGGATCCATCCTTTCCCCAGGACTGGATCCATCCTTTCCCTGTGGTTGGATCCATCCTTTCCCTGGGGTTGGATCCATCCTTTCCCCAGGGCAGGATCCATCCTTTCCCTGGGGTTGGATTCATCCTTTCCCTGGGGTTGGATCCATCCTTTCCCCAGGGCAGGATCCATCCTTTCAGGCCTGTTCCATGGAACCAGGAGCCCCAGGAGCCCCCAGCTCTGTGGGAGTCACTCGGGGACAGCGACCCCCTGACCCCCCCTGGGTGGCTCTACGGGGTTGGCAGTGCCTCTGTCCCCCCCCGGGGCCCTGACGGTGTCCCCGTGTCCCCCGGGCAGGTGGAAGTGCTGTATGAAGATGAGCCCCTGAAGGAATATTACACCCTGATGGACATCGCCTACATCTACCCCTGGAGGAGGGTGAGTGGGGCTGCTGCTGTGGGCACACTGGTGCCATGGGGTGCCCTGGGGTGCTGTGGGGTGCTGTCGGTG